AAAAAAAAAAAAAAAAAAAAAAAAAAAACTCAAAAGTATATCAGCAGGTGAATAAAGTATAGTATGTTTATACAATGGAATACTATTTATCAGTAAATGGACTGAACTATTGACATATACAACAACATGGATGATTCTCAAGATAATTAGGCTGAGTGAAAGAACTCAGATAAAAAATAGTGTATACTGTGTGGTTTCATTTTTAAAAATTATAGGAAATGCAAACTGTTCTGCATGGAAAGAAAATCGATCAGTGGTTCCTGGAGATGGGAGAGTAGGCGGGAAAGAAAGATTACAAGAGGGTGTGAGGAAACTTTGTCTTGGTTGTCATGACAGTTACATGGGTGTACACAGATATGTCAAAATGAGTCAGATTATACAATTTAAATAGTACAGTTGTTTATCTTCAGTTTTACTTTAGTAAGACTGTTTTTTAAATTACCCCTTCTTTGCACCTGTTGGGTATATAGGACACAGCCATCAGAGTGCGAAAATGAACAGATAGGACATCTCACAACTGGCTCTGTGAAGCCAGTATTATCCTGATACCCCAACCAGAAAAAGACACCACGAGAAGGATACCAACCGACAAATAAGCCTTGTGAATGCAGACACAAAAATCCTTAATAAAATATTAGAAAGCCAAATTCAGCAATATGCCTAAAGGATTCTTCTACACCATGACAAAGTAAGATTTATCCTAGAAATGCAAAGCTGGTTCAACATTTGGAAATCAATCAATGTAATACACCATATTAATAAAATAAAGGACAAACATTATACAGTCATCTTAATAGATGCAGAAAAAGCATTGGACAAAATTCAACACCCTTTGATGATAAAAACGGCAACAATCACACAACCTAGGGACAGAAGGGAACATCCTCAGCCTGATAAAAAATATCTATGAAAATCCCACAGGTATCATCATAGTTAACAGTAGAAGACTGAACACTTCCCTCAAGATCAGGAACAAGCCAAGGATGTCCATTGTTACCACTTCTATTCAATATTGTACTGAAATAGATTTGAAAGGAAGAAGTAACACTCTCTGTTCACAAATGACATGATCTTGTATATGGAAAATAGTAAAAGATCCATAGAACAAAATTATTAGAACTAATAAACCAAAGCTGCAGTATACAAGATCAATATACAAAAATACCATTTGTATATATAACATAAAAACATCAATCATATTTCTATATACTAACAATGAACAATTCAAAAATGAAATTTGAAAACATTTCCATTTATAATAGCACCAAAGAGAATAAAATAGGAATAAATCTAATAAAAGAAGGGCAGGAAGCTGGGCATGGTGGTATGTGCCTATAGCCCCAGCTACTGAGGAGGCTAAAATGGGAGAATCTCTTGAGCCCAGGAGTTCAAGTCCAGCCTAGGCAACATCTCAAGACCCTAACTTAAAAAAAAAAAAAAAAAGTGCAAGACATGTTCACCGAGAAATTCAAAATGTTGATGAAATTAAAATAAATAAATAAATAAATGGAAAGACATCCCATATTCGTGGATCAGAAGACTTAGCGTGGTTAAGATAGCTGTACTTACTACAAACAAAGCTACAGATGAAATATAATCCCTATCAAAATCCAAGCTGAGTTTTTAACAAAATCTGATAAATTGATCCTAAAATTCATATGGAAATGCAAATGGCCCAGAATAACCAAAATTTTGATCTTTAAAAAAGATCAAAGTTGGACAATTCACACTTCCCAATTAAAAAACTTATTACAAAACTATACTAATGAAAACAGAAATAAACCCTTACATTTATGTCCTTCGATTTTTAACAAGAGTGCTAGGACAATTGAATGGGAGAAGAATTTTTTTCAAATAAACAGTGCTAAGACAATCACACAATCACATATCCACATACCAAAGAAGTAAGTTGGACCCCTGCTTCATACCGCAGGCAAAAATTAACAAAAATGAATTATAGACCAAAATGTGAAGGCTAAAACTGTACAAATCCTAGGAGAAAACAAAAAACAAATCTTTATAACCTTGTATTAGGCAATAGTTCCTTAAATGTGACCCCAAAAGCACAAGCAAAAAAAGAAAAACAGATTGGACTTCCTCAAAATCAAAAACTTCTGTGCTTCAGAAGGTACCATCAAGACAGTGGAAAAACCCACAGCATGGATGAAAATATTTACAAGCCATACACAAGGAATGTGTATTTCTAATCTATAAAGAACCCTTACAACTCAAGAATAAAAAGACAATCCAAATTTAAAATGGACCAAGTATTCAAGTAGACATTTTTTCCAAAGGAGATACACAAATATCCAACAAGCATTTTTAAGACAAATCAGAACCACCAAGAGAATCACCAGTAGCTCAATAAAGCTATTATCTTTGAAAAATGAACAGAATTTAGATTACATGGAACCCTTCTGAAGCCTGACCCCTCAGCCTACCTGCATCAGCACCGGGTCTTGCATTGCATCCTTCCAGCCCTTTTGGGAGCAAGATGACGTATTATCCTATTTTACAGATGAGGAAACTGAGGCTCAGTAGAGGGAAGTGGCTTGCTACTGGTCTTATAATATTAGGCTAGGAGATTCTAACTACTTATGGCTTTCTGCTCATGAGCTTGAAGGCCAAGCCCCAAGAATGTGCAATAATGGCAGGCTCCTCTGTCCCCAGGGGCCCCCAGCTCTCCCTTCTTGGCACAGGCCCCAGCATTCCCCCCTTGCTGATTGCTCTCCTAACCTCTTGCAAGATTGGGAGCAGGAGTCAGGAGAGGAGGCCGAAGGTCCCTTGAATTGTTTACCCCGGGTCTGAATCTAGCACAGTCCACGACATGCTGTCTGTGTGACTTTCAGCAAGTTCCTGCCCTCTCTGAGCCTCAGTTTCCTCATCTGTGAACAGGGGACATGGTGTGTCCCTGGGAGCATGCAGGTGTGGTGGTACCGGCAAAACATCTGGCACGTAGCAGGCCTTCAGTGAATGGGGTTATTTTTAGGGGATCATTCCTTAACAGAGCATTTCCGACCCGTGGGAGGCGGCTGCGGGCCCTTTTATTCTGTCCCGTGAAGACTTGGGACAGGAGCTCCCCAGTGTTGCAGAGCCTCCCCTGTGGAATCCTGATCCAGGCTCTGCTCTCTCATCTGATGGAGAGCACAGGCTCCCCTCGGAGCCCGGGAGGACTGGCATCTAATTTGTGACCTGTCCACACTCACTTGATCACCCTGGACAGGCCGAGAGGGAAAAGGCAGGCCCTGAGGACCTGGGTGACTGGCAGGACATGACGGCTATGACCTCACTCACTCCATTGCTTCCTGTTCTCCCCGCAGGGCGACTCTGGCGAGATGGGCTTCCCAGGAATGGCAGGTCTCTTTGGACCCAAGGTACGGACTCCCACTGCTCACCATTCCTCTGGGGTCCCATCCATTCACCCCATTTGTTCATTTATTCATTCAGCAAATAGTCATGGGGCACTTAAAACATTGGCTGGAATACCCAATCTGGAACACCCAGAATCAGGGATGAACACCCTCATCCCCTGGTACCTACTCCAGCAGACCTAGGTTCCAAGCTCAGCTACACAATTACCTACTCTGTGCCTTGGGCAAGTCATTTAGTCTCTTTAAGCCTTGGTTTCCTCATCTGTAAAATGGGAGCAATGATAGTAGAAATCTGTTGCAAAAATAAAGACCAGAGGCAGACGCCACACAGTACTGAGCCAGCCTGCTGCTGGCACCTGCTGAATAATTACTGTGGGTGTTTCTTACCCCTTCTGGGGCCTCTCAGGTAAGGCCTCTCTTGACAGGGAAGGTGGAGGTTGGCAGACTCCAGGGGCGAGGGAGCTGCAGGGGCCCTTTACCCAGTAGCTGCCAAGTACAGATGGCCCTTTCTCTGCCTCCCACAGGGCCCCCCTGGAGACATCGGCTTCAAAGGCATCCAGGGCCCTCGGGGGCCGCCTGGCTTGATGGTGAGTCCCCTGCCTGCTGTCGCAGCAGGGATGGTCATTCTAGGCTCAAGGTTGGCCGGCTATCAGCTGGCTGGGCACCTGTCTTCATCCTCCTCTTGCTCCTTGACTCTTGAGCCCTCTCTGCCCACAGGCTTGGTTCCCCGCTTCACACCACTCCTGCCATTCCCGCCAGCTCAGCTGCCATCCTTCTCTCCTTCCACGCTTCCTCCCCTCGCCCCACTCTTGAAGCCCACCCCTAGGCACACAGGAGGGGCTCAGGAGATGCATGGCCTGGGCCTGCCTCAGACGATCTCCCTTCCACTCCCTTGGACCCCAGACCCTGGGACAAGGACACAAGAACCTTTCTCTCTCCTTTAGGGAAAGGAAGGCATCATTGGGCCCCTTGGAATCCTGGGACCTTCGGGACTCCCGGTATGTGTGGGGGCTGGGCAGGAAGGATCCTGGGTCCCCTTGCCTTCCTACCTTCAGATTGTCTCTCTGTGACTCAGTGCCAGTCTAAGCCTCAGTTTCCCCATCTGGAAATGGGGATTCCCCTCTGGGCCCTGCCTCACTGGGCCATGATTTGTTGCAGGGTCCGAAGGGTGACAAAGGCAGCCGTGGGGACTGGGTAAGTGGATGGGCTGGGGCTGAGGGGCGCAACGCTGCGGGGGAGGGGGGAGGAGTGGGCTTACAGGGTGGGGCCAGGGCTTAGCCAGGTTCCCTAACTCTCTCCCCTGCTTCTGTCTCCCTCCAGGGATTGCAAGGTCCGAGGGTGAGTGGGCTGGGTGTGAGGGCTATGGGGCGGGGTGTGGGGTGAGCACCCTGGGTTCGCCCGGTGGCACATGGTCTCCCTGTGGACCTCCGTCATCCGTCAGTGCCAGAGGAACCATTGTCCCTGAGTCTCAGGTCTGCCTGAGGAGGGACTGGGATGGGGAGAGATGAAGACCCTGTGGACCAGAGCTCACTCTTCTTCTCCTGTTCCCCCAGGGTCCTCCCGGCCCCAGAGGGCGGCCCGGCCCCCCGGTAGGTAACGGTGCTGGGTGCATCTGGGACTCCTGGGGGCAGGAGAGGGGTTCCTTTGAAGGAGACCCAAGGCTTCACCGGCAGACTAAGCCTTGACCCTGAACCTCACAGGGCTCACATGCTTCTTGTAGCCCACAGACTCCTAGGAGAGTATAGGACAGCCCTGAACATTCACCTTTGCCAACATGGGGTAACACCTAGGGGGCCAGGCCTCCAGAAAAGTATAGACCAGCCCAGTGGGGCCTGCCAGGCCTCCGGGAGAGCAGAGGGTAGGTTGGTGGGCCCTCCATGCTTTAATGGCCTCCCCGGTCTCCTGATACCCTCCCAGATTCCAGCACACTGTCCCCAGCATTTAACTGACCTGCTGTCTTCTTTTACAGGGTCCTCCAGGGCGTTCTATCCAATTTGTAAGTTGGAAACATTCTCTTCTGCCTACCTGGGGTAAGGCCTAAAGGGTTCAGGGGAAGAGGCTGCTGGCCCTCTCTGGCCCCAGTGCCTAGAGCCTTAAGCTGGGCCTAAGGATGCCCATGTCCTTTTGTTACTTCATACTGGAGACTTGGACCTGGAAGCAACTTAAAGAGCCCTGGGCCAGGAGGCAGGAAACCTAAGTTTTTGATGTGCCCCTGACTGTGAATTCAGGAAGATGCTCCGGTCACTGGGGTCATGGTCCTATCTGTGTACTCTACACACATGGGCTGACTGCAAGAGTCCTTACATCTCAGATTCTGAATCCAAAGAGAGTTGGGGCCGGGCATGGTGACTCGTGCCTGTAATCCCAGCACTTTGGGAGGCCAAGGTGGGCGGATCACCTGAGGTCAGTAGCTTGAGACCAGCCTGGCCAACATGGCAAAACCCCATCTCTACTAAAAATACGAAATTAGCCAGGTGTGGTAGGTGGCACCTGTAATCCTAGCTACAGGGAAGGCTTAGGCAGCAGAATCACTTGAACCCGGGAGGTGGAGGCTGCAGTGAGCCGAGATCACACCATTGCACTCCAGCCTGGGCAACAGAGCAAGACTGTCTCAAAAAGAAAAAATAAAGAAAGTTGGGCCAGGGGGCAGATTGGGGCCCCTGCGTTCCTCCCTGGTGGCCGCTGTGGTCCTGTCCGAGAGCATGACTCCTCCCAAGCCCTGTGGCGAGTCCAGCCCCATTTTACTATTGCACGGTGGCTGGACGACTGTTGCCATCAGGACCCCACAGCGTCCCAGGTATAGCCTTGAGGAGAGACTGAATGCAGCAGGAGCCCTCAGGCCAGGCGTCACAGAACCTCTGTTCTCCTGTCTGCTCTCACTGCCCCTCCCTCAAAGACACCATCTGCACCATCCTCAAAGACAGAGTGACAGCCCTGGCCTCTCCTCTGCAGCCTTCCCTTGTCCTTCTCATCAGTAAGAAAGAAAGGTAAAGAAAATAAAAAGATCCAGGAAACACAGAAAATTAGAGGGTTTTGGATTTTTGGAGTAGTCACTAATACTGATTGAGTACTTGTCCAGTGCTAAGGTGCTCTCCTTTTTTTTTTTTTTTTGAGATGCAGTCTTGCTCTGTCGCCCAGGCTGGAGTGCAGTGGTACAATCTTATCTCACTGCAACCTCCTCCTCCCAGGTTCAAGCGATTCTCCTGCCTTAGCCTCCCCAGTAGTTGGTATTATAGCCATGCACCACCACGCCCAGATAATTTTTGTATTTTAGTAGAGAAGGGCTTTCACCGTGACGGCCAGGCTGGTCTTGAACTCCTGACCTCAAGCGATCCTCCCGCCTCGGCCTCCCAAAGTGCTGGGATTACAGGTGTGAGCCACTGCACCTGGGCTACGGGTGCTTTTCATGAGTTCCTTTCAGCAGTTCTTGTGAGAGAGTTGTATTATCAGGTCCATTTTCAAGATGAAAAAACTGAAGAAAGGAGTTAAGCAGCTTTCCCCAGATGATGCAGTTAGCAAGTGGCAGGTCTGGGGCTTGACCCTGAGGAGCAGCCCTAGAGTCCGGGTTCCAGACCCCAGGCCTGGGCTGTTGCTATTTCATGGCAAGACCACAGCCATGCCTCTGCCAAGCCCGGTGCTAGGGTTGGGGGTAGAAAGTTATATTAGACCATTATAGTGCAAGTCAAACGAGAAACAAGGAGACTGAAGGCATAGAGAAAGGGGGCCTCCCTCTTCTTAGCCTGGAGTCGGAAGCCTCCAGAGAGGCTTCGCATCACAACTGACATCTATAGGATGAGTCTAGGGCAGGTTTTCTGAGACACAGTGCAGTTGACATTTGCATAACTCTTTGCGGTGAGTGACAGTCCCAGAGGATGTTTAGCAGAATTCCTGGCCTCTAACCATGAGATGCAAGTAGTAACCCCTCCCCGAGCTTGAACAACCAAACTGTCTCCAGATATGGCCAAATATCCCCTGGGGGTCGTTGTCACCGCTGCTTGGGAACCACTGGTGTAGAAGATAGCCAGATGGTGCATTGGAGGGAGGGACAAGGCCCCCAGGTGACGAGAACAGCGTGCACAAAGGCCCCACGGCCAGACAGAGCGTGGCCTTTAGGAACTTGGAAGTACTATAGTGTGGCTGGAGCCAGAGCACATATGGGGGAGAGGAAAGAGACATGACTCAAGATCACAGGGTTCAGACTGGGTCTTATAACCATGTTGAGGGGTTTGAACTTAATCCTGAGGGCCACAGGGAGCTGTCAGAGGACCTGGGGAAAGGGAAAGGCAGGGTCGCTGTGACTGTCTGCAAAGGGAGGAAGGACAGAGAGTTCCACAGAGGGCAAATGACTTGGCCAAGGTCCTGCCAGGGAATATGGCCCCGGGGCTCCCACTTGAGGAGTATAGAGAACCCTGGGGGGACAGGATGCATACCTGTCTTTTCCCTGCACAGCAACACGATGACCTTGGGGCAGCTTTCCAGACGTGGATGGACACCAACGGAGGACTCAGACCAGAGGTAGGAGCTCTCCCCACATGGGGTCCCTTCCTGGAAGAAACACAAATAAATATAATGGCCCACGTGTGGTCACTGCCCTCTGTGTGGCCTGCATGGAGCATTTCAGAGTTCTGGTCTTGGTGGCATCTTGCATCCACAAACGGGGGTTGGTATGGAGGCTCAGAATGGGCAGTGAGTCCAAGGTCCCATGGCCGGAAACAGGCCCGGAGCCCTTGAGCTTTCTCCGGAGGCCTCTCAGCGTCTCTGAGCTCTTGCTGGCTGGGGTCAGGGCGAGAAGCTTGCCTGAGCCCAGCGCCCACAGCAGCTTCCCAGAAATCACCCCCACGTTTCTCCAGGAGCAAGAAGCTCATGGTTAGCCCACGGGGCTCTGCTAAGACCCTGGCCTGTGGTCGACTCAGCTCCAAGACTCCAGGCTGAGAAGGGACCCCCACGTTCTCTAGTCCAGCGTCTGTCGGGAGCCCTCTTTGCAGCCTGGCCTCCTTTGCATGACGAGGAACTCACTGCTCCCAGCTCAGATCTCCTACCAACATTTCTGTTTATTTGTTCCCTGTGCTGGATGCTGAGACAGATAGTGCGCAGTCACAGCCTTGGCTTTCTCAGGACTCACAGTCTAGAGTTGGGGGAGATCATGGATGAGCCTCTTACCGTCTGCCTGCAGAGGTCAGTGGAAAGAGAGAGGGACGCCCAGGATGCAGTGCGGCTGGAGAAGGGAAGCGTTTCCTTCCGCCTCTAGAGGCCAGTGATGCTGCATCCCAGGAGAGCACTGACCGGGAACATCCTTAACATTATTAAGGAAAGCGGCTCGGTGTATCAAGCACCTCCTCCCCACTCTGCAATGGCAGTGGAGTCGAGGTTTATTTCTTGTGCACATGAAAGTTAATTGGCTTGTTGATGAGAGACCTTGGCTACCTGCCAGGGGCTCTGCCCTCTTCCTCTCCTACACATGGCCCCCAACGTCACTCCACACCAGGAGGAGGCACCACGGGGGGAAGAGAGTGTAGAGAATTGTGCAGGAGGGTCTCTGGGCCAGGCCTCTGCGGGGTTGGCAACGCTCCACTTCTATCCCATCGGCTAAAGCACAAAAGAGGCTGGGAATGTAGTCTGTCCAGGCAGAAGAAATGGATCGGGTGAGCGGCTGCCGGTCTCTGACACAAGTGCATGTACGCACACACATGCGCACACGCATGCACGCACTCACACGCATGCGCATGCATGCACAGACGTGACCTCTTCCACTCCCAGAGGAAGGAGGGTTTCTTTAGCTCTGATTTGTAACTCTGGAAGCTGAGGCTTAAGGGGTGTGCAGGAGGAGTCTGGTCAGGGTGACCCTGAATGTCCCACTCTTTAGCACTCTGTGGTTCCCTCCTGCCCCCTAGTGGAGATCTGCTCCTTCTCTGACCTCAAGTCTCCTCCCCGCACTGGTGCCTGCTGGCCCCAGTTCTGTCTCCTGGTGCCTCACAGAGGCCCATGGGAGCCCAGTGGGGGCTGGGTGCCCCCCAGGTCATCTCCTCCCTGCACCTCCGCTTCCTTCAGACTCTTTGCAGATAGAGATGGGGGGCCGCTGCCGAGTGTCCCAGGCACCCTCACCTGCCTTATTCACAGGGTTCTGCCTGTCCCATATCAGAGAACATGGTCTGACCCTGAGCTCTTTTCAAGCCTCTGGGCCATCATGACAGCCCTTCCTCCTGCACCTTGTCCCTGGCCCCAGTTTTCTCATCTGCAAAATAGAGAGAAACCCAACCCCTGCTCCAGCCATGACCCGTGGATCCGAGATATCTCCTAGGTCGTGAGAACCTGGGGCTGTGGAGGCTTGGACCCCAGGCTGGACCAGGATCCTCAGGTCCCAATGGCCACCCTCTCCTCGTGACAGGGTTATAGCTATCCGGACCGGCTGGTGCTGGACCAGGGAGGAGAGATCTTTAAAACCTTACACTACCTCAGCAACCTCATCCAGAGCATTAAGACGCCCCTGGGCACCAAAGAGAACCCCGCCCGGGTCTGCAGGGACCTCATGGACTGTGAGCAGAAGATGGTGGACGGTGAGAAGGCTTCCTGCCCAGGGTGGGGGCGCTGGGCATCCGTGAGCTGGGGCAGGGGGAATATTGATTTTTGGCTCGTTTTGGCTGAGTTTTTGTCCTCAGCAAGACAGATACCTGGGCAGTCATTTATTCACTCAACAATCACTGAGCCTCACAGCATATCAAACTTTGTGCTTCCTGGGGTGTGGGGAATGCAGAGGAGAGGTCCCACCCTTCCAGAGCCCCTGGATCGACATGCTGTGGGCGACCATTTCAGTGCAAAGAGGCAAGAGCTTTGGCAGAAAAAAAGCCCCTGAGGCTGCAGGAGTCCCTGCCCCCGGCGGTCCATCATGTCACAGGTTCTTGGGTGAGCCAGAATTTTCCCCCTTTCTGAGAGTGAGGACTGTACCCTCTCATCTGTGAGCTGATGTGATGTGAAGGATGAGCTGTGGAGGCAGACAGACCTGAGTTCCAATGTCAGCCCTGCCTCAAAGTTGCTCTGTGAGCTGGGGCAAGCCATGGCCCTATCCCGAGCCGCCCTTACCTCCTCTGCACAGGCAGCTGGGACCTGATGGCTGGTTGTCCACTCTTTTTTTTTTAGACAGAGTCTCACTCTGTCACCAGGCTGGAGTGCAGTGCCGCAATCTCAGCTCACTGCAACCTCTGCCTCCTGGGTTCAAGCAATTCTCCTGCCTCAGCCTCCGGAGTAGCTGGGATTACAGATGCAGGCCAACATGCCCAGATAATTTCTGTATATTTAGTAAAGAAGGGGCTTCATATTGGCCAGGATGGTCTTGATTTCTTGACCTTGTGATCTGCCTGCCTCGGCCTCCCAAAGTGCTGGGATTACAGGCGTGTGCCACCGTGCCTGGCCGGTTGTCCCACTCTTGAGCCGCAAAGGCTTTGGCTTCCTGAAAATCCCAGTGGGGAAACCAGATGTGAGCAGCAGTGCTGGCTGATGGGGTGGGAGCCCTGACTCCCACCCTCCCCTGGCAGACCCTAGGAGGAGTCCTAGGCCTCGAAGAATCCATTCAACTAGGTGATTCCCCAATCCCATGTGCAAGTGGCCCAGCCTCTCTCAACATCAATTGTCTCCTCTGTGAAATGGACACATCCCAGTAGCAACACAGGGAAGTACACAGCCATGTGGCCCCTGCTCTGGGGGCTCTACCAGCTGTGAGCGCTGCCCAGAAGGTGTCCTTCCATCTCTTGGCTCATAGAATCCCTCTTCTGCCTACCTACCCTGACTTCATGCTCACCTGGGGCTCGGCAGGTCACGAGATACAGGGTCTATCTTGGGCTCTTCCCCAGATACATACATCACCTCCTCCCACGCTGCCCGCAGGTACCTACTGGGTGGATCCAAACCTTGGCTGCTCGTCCGACACCATCGAAGTCTCCTGCAACTTTACACACGGTGGACAGACGTGTCTCAAGCCCATCACGGCCTCCAAGGTACCCATCAGCTCCCACACTGCCCCCAGGCTGACCCTCTTTATCCCCAGCTTGCCCTGGCCCACAACCAACCCAGCTTCTGTTCTGAGCTGTGCCTGTCTGACTTCGTGGCCTTGAGAAAGTCACCTCCTCCTTCCAAGACTGTTTCCTTATCTATAAATTGGGAGTGAGTTGAACTAATGTGTGGTTTCCAGACCCTTTTGAGTTGTGTGATGCTGATGATTCTTCCTTTACATAGAATCTTCTGCCTAATGTCTAAAGCAGAGCAGTTGGCCAGGCTGGCCTGGCTTGGGAAACCATGACTCATCAGCATGAAATAAAAGGGGAAAGGAGTATGATGCTCATCTGAAGCATGTTGCATGACTTGTGTATGCAGATACTTAAGTTAGGTTCAATGCCTGAGCATTTTAGATGGTATAGGGCCACTCAACAACGAACCAAGGCAGGTGGCAGCAGTGGAATGTGGCAGGGATCCTCAGTGGATCGTGGGTCTGTAGTTCCGTTAGGCCTTCTGAATTTGGGGGCAGTTTATTCCACAGCAAGAAGCTGCCCTGTCTGCCGGGGAGGGGAACCGTCCCATTTTATCCCCACACCCCCTGGGGAGGCTCTGGGAGATGCCCTGTGCTGACCGGGTCAGACTGGCAGTTTGAGGATCTCTAGGTGAGGCAGCCAGCCAGTCGCCAGGTCTTTGGTGGGTCCCTATCATGTGCCAGGCCCTGAGCCAGGACAGGGAGGTCAGAATCACGACTGCCCCTGCAGCCAGAGCTCCAGGGACTCCAGCTACAATCCGGCAGGGACTTGGTGACATCCACAGGCTCTCTTCCTTGGTGACTCAAACGTTTGGGGGTCATGCAGCAAACCTGCCTGGCAGATGGGTGAGGCCGGAGTTGGTGCCTGGAATGGTGGCATGAGTGCCCAACTGGGTCACCTTCCCCATCAGAAACAATGGCAGGGCGAGGCTGTGCTCTGTGTGGGAAAGCGCCAGAGCCACCAATCCTGTCCCATCATTTGTTCTTGGGTCTGCCATTTCCAGCAGCACCCCACCCCACCTCCCAGGGATCTTGTACTTAGGAAGGGTCTAGAAAGCTCCTCTCATTTCCTCTACACTCCATGAGCCTCTCAACCTTGGGCAAAACCCTCTTCCTCGCTGGGCCCCTGGATCCTAGCTCAGCCCCGAAGACCACCCATACTGTGGGAGAATGGATTGGATGACATTGGGACCCTCAAAGCTCTGGCTCTGAGTTAGGCAGGACTTCTCTGCTTACACAGCCAAGAACCTGTGAGACCAGCTCACACAGACCTCAGTTTCCCTGTCTATCAAGTGGGCACATGTCTGGGAACATTGCCAGGAAAGGGCCCATCCCTGTTCCCTCCATAGAGAGGCAGGAAATGCTCAGGCGAGGGTGCCGCCCAGCCTGAGCTGACTCACCGCTGTGGCTTCCCCACAGGTCGAGTTTGCCATCAGCCGGGTCCAGATGAATTTCCTGCACCTGCTAAGCTCCGAGGTGACCCAGCACATCACCATCCACTGCCTTAACATGACCGTGTGGCAGGAGGGCACTGGGCAGACCCCAGCCAAGCAGGCTGTGCGCTTCCGGGCCTGGAACGGACAGATTTTTGAGGCTGGGGGTCAGTTCCGGCCCGAGGTGTCCATGGATGGCTGCAAGGTAACTCTCAGAGCACCTCCTAGGCTCTGTCCCTTCATATGGGGACAACTGGAAAAAAATTGTTTGGAAAAATGTGTTTCTCTTATAAGATTATATCTAACATTTTTATACCATAATATATTAATGTGACAGATACAATTTTATCTTTGTGTAATATTATTAGAACAGTTTTCTAAAATTGTTTATACTCACTTTCCTTTCTGGGAAGCCCCGACGGGAGGTCTGGGCTGGTAAAAATTCTTCAGGCTAGTAGATGCTATACTTGCTTGTGAGGCTCTTTCAAAGAAGAGATATTTCCTCTCCCTGCTCCCACCCAAGTCAGGCTAGTTTCTTCCCATTCTATTTTTTGGTCATTTTCAAATGCCCTGAATGGGATAGGTTGTCAGGGGAGGGGAAGACAGAAAGTTGAGAAAAGGCAACAGTCAGTTTCGTAAGATGAAACAAAACTGATAATACTACACAGTATTCGTGAGGGTGTGGGGAAACCAACAATCTCGCATGAAGCTATTGGAAAAAATAAGTTGGTAGAGGTTTTCTGGATAGCAGCTCTCATATGTATCCAAAACCTTAGAAATGTACTGATTTTTGGGGGGAGCTAAGCTATGAGGACAGAAAGGCATAAGAATGGCATGATGGACTTTGGGGACTTGGGGAGAGGGTGGGAGGGGGTGAGGGATAAAAGACTATTGGGTTCAGTGTACACTGCTCAGGTGACGGGTGCATCAGAATCTCAGAAATCACCACTAAATAACTTATTCATGTAAGCAATCACCACCTTTCCCCAAAAACTTACTGAAAAAATAAATAATATATATAATATATATAGATATATATGATATATGTGTGTGTGTATATATATATATACACACACACACACATATACACACACACATAAGAGATGTACTTGTTTTTTGATCTAGCAATTCTAGAACAATACTTCTAGAATTTGTTCCAGGGAAATAAGAACGTGAACATAGGTTTAGTTATAGTGATGTTCATGACAGCATTACTTATAAGAATAAAAAAAGTGGAAGCAATCTAAATGTGCCACATAGGTCATTGCTACAGTGAAATACGGTCTGGCCATTGAAAATGGTGAGGAAAGATGGAAGAGAAAATGCTCATGACATATGATGAGAACCACGATGGATGTACATGCGCACTTTCCCTTGCGCCCTCAGGTCCAAGATGGCCGCTGGCATCAGACGCTCTTCACCTTCCGGACCCAAGACCCCCAACAGCTGCCCATTGTCAGTGTGGACAACCTCCCTCCTGCCTCATCAGGGAAGCAGTACCGCCTGGAAGTTGGACCTGCGTGCTTCCTCTGACCTCTGACCTCTTGGCCCCTCTAGGCCTCGTGGAGGAGGAAGAGGAAGAGGCAAGGGGAGGGTGCCGAGGAACAGATGGCTCCAGGAGAGGCAGCTCCCCTGCCCAAGTGTCCTTGGGCAGACCCCAGCTGTTGTCTGCCCAGTAGAAGTGGGTGGGGATAGGAGGGGATAGTGTGTCCTTGGGAACAGTGGATCCCAGCTTAGCCCCAAAGACCAACCAAAGAGCCAGCCAGAGCAAGCTGGACCTGCAACCTGCCTGAGCCCCATGGCCTGTCTCTCAGCTCTACGGCCACCCCCTTCCCTCCCCAGCTTCCTGCCCAAAGAGCCCCACATTCAAGCCAACTTGAGGGAAGGGGGCATCTCGTCAGCTGGTCCCTGCTAGGGAGCTATTGATGTGCAATATTAGAAAGGAGACATGAAAAAAGGAGAAAAGGAAAGACAGAAGTATATATATATATATTATTTAAACAACCACAAAGAAGGTGCGTTACTATTTTTTTCCCCTGGGAAATTGTTGAGAGGATGGGAAGGAGCGGCCAGGCGTGGGAAGCGGCGAGATCCTCGGGCTGGGGGTGCCCACGTTTGCTACCTCCCACTGTGAAATCGCTGGTGCTCGCAGTTGTCTCTCGTAGTGTATATGATTTTTTTAAGGAAAAAGAAAAACCCTATTTAAGATTCTGAAGGTGCTACCATTATTTTGCCACAGACTTTGAAGAAACTTTTGGATGTGGGGTATCATCCACATCTCTCTCTCTCTCTCCTCCAAATGACAAAGTTTGGGGAATTTTTGAATTTTCCTAGCATCACCCTTGTGCTCATCAGGTAATCTGCTAAGGAGGGCATCACCCTTGTGCTCATCAGGTAATCTGCTAAGGAGG